AACTGCGTGTGTGTGTGTGTGTGTGTGTGTGTGTGTGTGTGTGTGTGTGTGTGTGTGTGTGTGTGTGTGTAGCTCTCCTGTCCTACCAGCATCAACCACAACCTGACTTCTGAACCACGCACAGCAGCACAAACACAGGCATAGCAACAATGGAAGGTAGGTAGGAAGCTTATGGTGTGCATGGTTGAGAGGATTAGTTAAGAATTAGCCTTTGTGTATCTAAGTACTCACACTCTCTGCCCATTTGAAATCCTCACCAGTTCCCACTCATGAAAAAGCAGCCATCAGGATTCTGCTTCGCAACCTCCATCAACGCCTGAACATAACTGCCCGTTTCCCCGCGCCCCCCACACGTGTCAGGCCTGGACGATAGCTCGGATAAAAATGAGAGTAGATGTGGCACTTCTGAGGGGGTTTTATCTTTTGTTGCCTAGTCCCGCCTGAAAAACAAACTTCTAAAGCCTGCCATCCTCGGAGGCTTCAAAGCACAGCAAGAACTGTCCCTGCGAGGCTAGCAGAGACAGCCAACCAATCTCCCCCTGCCCACTAAATTGCGTGAGGACGGAAAGCATTTCTGCATTTTGCTTGTCACGAACCCAGAACGGCTCGTCTTCATCAGATGACAGGCATAAAATAAGTTCTGAAATTGCTGAATCAAATCACAATAAATGCTGCCACGGCACGCGGTTAGGAAAACTGCTTTTTTTTATTTCTTGGCTGGACTCAGCTTTGGGAGTGTGGCCTCACCTGTGTGAGTCTGTCCTGTGATCTGGTGCGTCAGCGGGCCGGCCCAAGTCCAGATGCTGCTCCAGAACCTGCTGGCGGAACTCAGACACCTGGTACTGACGGTCCTCTTTCTCCTGCCGCAGCTTGCGTTGCCGCGCCAGCCACCGCTCTTCCTCGTTGGTCCTCTGTGTGATCATTGAGGCTGGGAGCCCCGGGCCTACAGGGCCGGGCCCCAAGTACAGGCTGTGGCCTGAGATCAGACCAGGAACAGGATGATGGGGCTGAATCATGGATGGGTGGATTCCAGGTGGCACTGGTTTGGGAGCTGGAAGGGCGGGCTCTTTGGTTTTGTCTGCAGAGAGGAAAAACAGTCAGTTTCAAAAACTAATGAAATATTTTAGCTAAAGTAGATAATTATAGCTAAAATAAGTAAAACKAAAAGGAGAAAAAAGTAAAACTTCAAGTATCTAGTTATGTTTTTAATGTTTCATAATTTATCCATTTTTTATGTAATAGTTTATATATTTGAGAAAACAATAAAGAAGCAACTACCGTATTTATTCATGTATAATACGATCAACATTTTTTGAGCTTACAATGCATAAAAATCTAATTATCAATAACTTGTGTATAATACTATCCCCCCACTTTATGGATGATTTTTAGGATTAAATTTTTAGTATTATACATGAATAAATACAGTAAATAATAAAGTTTAAAGTAATTTTACTGCATTACTTTTTAATAAATTGCTTATATGTAGCTGCTATAAGTATTTTTACAAGAGTTATCCAATGCATCATAGCTGGCAATACTTCCCCACTTGATTTGGGTATTTTTAATATTATTAACTTTTCTTTAGCCAACCAAATCCCACTGAGATCACCTTTGCAAGGGAGGCCTGGGCCTGAAGGCAATGTATTGTACATGTTTTTAGTCTGTGGAGGAAACCAGAGTAGCTGAAAAAAAAAACCACGCAATCACGTGGAGAACATGCACAGAAAGAATCAAACCCAGGACCTACTTGCTGTGAGGCATCAGTGCTAACCATTGAGCTGTTGTGAAAACAACTCAATACTTCAAACTACAACACTGCAAAGTGAACTTCTTGTGTCAGAAACGGTTAAATCTAAGTCTTGATTGACAATTTTAAAGGTATTCTTGATTAGTTGTAACATTAGACTTTATTTGATAAACATTAATTTTAACTGTAAAATAAAGACTGTAAAAATACTGTAGGCTGTTTAGTTTTGTTAAATTTTTAAAAATATATTTTAACATGGACGGAGACATTTTATTTACACGCAAAGCATTCTGGGTAAATGGTGACGTGGATAGGTCCTCGGTGCGAGGCTGCTAGCGAGCTATATCCACCCTGAAGGTTAATCTTGGACAATATCTGACGATCGGCTTTTTAAATGAAACCAGAGAGCGTTGACAGAGAGGAGAAGGTAGAAATGACTCAGCCTTTAACTGAAAATATAGATGGAGGACAACAGAGTTGCTTCATGGAAGAACCTCAGCTTAGCCTGTTAGCCTTCGCGCTAGCGCCAACACTATATTGCCTTATATGTATTAGCTCGGCACTAATGCGACAAACAAGCTAAACTGAGGTCCTCCGTCCATATTTTCAGTTACAGGCTGAGTCATTTCTACCTTCTCCTCTCTGTCAACGCTCTTTGGTTTCATTTAAAAGAGCCAATCATCAGATATTGTCCAAGATTAACCTTCAGGGTGGATATAGCTCGCTAGCAGCCTCACACCGAGGACCTATCCATGCCATAATTTACCCAGAATGCTTTGCATGTAAATAAAATGGCCCCATCCGTGTAATATATTTTTAAACTTTTGGTTTAAAAATTATAAAAACTGAACATCCTACAGTATTTTTACAGTCTTTATTTTACATTTAAAATATATGTTTATTAAATAAAGTCTAATGTTACAACTAATCACGGATCCCTTTAAAAAGGTTTTAGGAAGAAAATTTCGTAAACACTTCGCATGTTTAAAGAAATATTTCAGATGCTGTCAGAAAAGATTCAGTTTAACTGATTTTGCGTTTACTACCTTACCCGTTCAACACAAAACCATGGTTTTATCTGACCATCTGTCTATAAGTCATACATATTCAAGGTACATTACAGATGAATTTATTTAATAATGTAATCTACTGAACCGTCTAATTATCTGAAGTTTAAGGTCTAGTTAATGTAAAGTGTTTACAAGGATGGGAGTTTATAAGCAGTATAGCTGTAGTTTATGGAGGCTACATGGGATGCATGGACACATACCAGCCCGATTGGGGGTTAGTCTCTCAGGCTTGGTTCGTTCCTCTTGTCCCCTTAAAGAGTGGAGCTCAGTGAGATAGTGGTTCTCCATGGCCTTGGATGCCTGCAGCTCCTTCTCCCTCAGTGCCCTCTCCTTCTGCCTCTCCAGTTCCTTCTCCCTCTCCTTCTCCTTCTCTCGTTCTCTCTCACGCTCCCGCTCTCTCTCTCGCTCTCGTTCCCTCTCCAGCTCCTTCTCTCTRTCTCGCTCGCGCTCTCGTTCCCTCTCCCGCTCTTTTTCCCTTTCCGCCTCCCGCTCCCTCTCTTTTTCACGCTCGCGCTCTCGTTCACGCTCTCGCTCGCGCTCCCGCTCACGCTGGCGCAGCTCATCTTCCAGCTGGAGTCTGAAATGCAAAGTGAACGAAGAAAGAAAAAAAAAAAGATGTCAGCTAAATTAGAAAAAAAACATCATGATTGCGGCAGAGTGCTGAGATCTGCTCTATGCATTTACCAAGCGGAACTTTACCTCTCAGACTGCAGTGCTGACAATGAAGGGTGTGCAAAGTCCCCAGGGTAGCGGACCCCCGGTAGGTGCATGTGAACAGCAGAAGGATGGATGGGGGGTAAAGCTCCCCCTGTTGGCAGTGGATAGAAAGGTGACCTTAAAGCAGAGAGGCAGAATGGGTCGTCCATCCTGGGATAGAAGGATTACCAGAAAAAAATAGAAAAGACAGAGAAAGAGAAAGTCAMTCTCCTGTGTGACAGCGCAGCATTTACTTTCATTAACCCGTGTGCCTCCATCTCCCAAAGAAGCAGCATCACAAGGTCCTCTGACTTTCAAGGAGGCAGGAGTATCTGTCAGCTAAGCTCAATCACCACACAGCAGCCAAGAAAAGACAGCGCTGCAGGTTGAGGCACAACTGTGCGTCTCTGTGTACGTGTGACAAGCACAGCCCAGACCCTCATTAAATCCATTACAACACAGTGTGCATGATGGCTGCTGCAGTCCTATGATCTTGGATGACAAAATAGGAGCATACAGCCTTGTGTGATAGCCCAAAGCGAGCAGCGCCCTTCTGAACACACACACAATCGTGTGGAGTATTTAAAATATATTCATTTAATATGTTCCACTCACAATAACTAAAGAACATCATATCTTATTTTTATTAGGAAAAAACGGAGATGCAGCATGAATTTAAGCACTTTAGTGTTTTTTTTTTTGTGGTGATTTCTCTCAAACATTTATGAACAAGTTCCAAACATACAGTTAGAAACATCAAAAACTTTAGTCCTATTTCTCCATTTTCACTGGGCATGACCTAATTTTGGTGAAGTTGTGAAGAACAGAGCATCACTGCAACATCTCTAACAGAGTTACATGGCAATAGCAGGTCTAAACCATTTTTATTCAGCTTCTTAAAAGCATTTGGATCTGGCCGACCCCYTTTTTATTCTGAAAACATTGGCTTTGTATAGGCAACTTGTCCAGTGTTGATAGGTTTATTTATAATTTATAACTCTAAACTTGAGTGTTGTAAAAAGATTTTGCATCACACTTTAGTTCCAGAAGGAACTAATAGTAGAATAATATCAACACCTTCATAAAAAATATATATACATATATAAAAAAATAAATATATATGCAAAAAAGTGGAGTTAGAAAAAAATTGACTTGTGACAATATGTTGCTTTGCTTTTTGTTTACTTAGAACTCAATATATTTGGTTAGGCTGCTGTGAATTATAACCATGTCTTATTTTAACCTGCATTTCCTTCATCTAATAAAAAACATGATTAGATTACCAATTGGAACTTCTATTCTACATCACTTGTGCAATAATGCATTGACTGAGCAGTACAAGTAGAAGAAGCACGTTACTCCTGTGCATTTTATTTTCCAAGAAAATAGTCAAAAATGAAAGGAGTGGTTTACCTGTATGGTGTGAATGAGGGGTGGGGCAGGTAGCTGGGGTGGTAATAGGCAGCTGCAGCAGCTGCTGTCGCAGGGTCCAGCCCTAAAGGCAAAGATGGCATCCTGAGGGCATCCTCAGTCGTGGCATAGGGCCGAAAACCCCGGAGGTACTCCTCTGGTACAGGACCAGGAGGCACAGTATTAGGCAACTGTCTGGGCAGGCTGATGGTGACAAAGGGAGTGTAACAGAGAAAATATTTTGTTAGTTTGATTTTTCTGTGTTTACTCTTGTGTAAGAATCAGAATTCAATGAGAACCTAAATGCATTCAAATTGTTTGTTCAGCACGAATGTCAACAAGATGAATGTGTGCTGGTGGTGCTTACTCCAGAAARGTTTAGACGCAGATAAAGTTTTATCACAATATCAATCAAAGCAGCAATTTCCTTTCAGAAACAAGACAGCATGTAGAGTTTTCAAACATATAAAAATGAATTAAAAAAAAAAAGAAATGTTTGACTCACTTCAGGGGCTGAAAACGTGAGTCCTGCATGACGGCACCAGGGGTGAGACCGAAGGCATAAGGGTTTCCCAGGAGGTGAGCAGGGACTGAGGGGCCACCTTTCTCCTGTGAGAAGGTCCCCTCAGCACCCAGACGTTCCCTGCTGGCCCCTCGAGGCCCTGAGTCAGCCTAGAAACAGATACAGAGAGCGAGTCTTGGTCATTGTTTGTTAGAACCTGTGACCGTCACGGTTGTCACTGCGGATGGAGCCAGTCCTTTGAGGAGGGGGATATAGGAGAAAGAATGAGCCTGTTTGTGGCAAGGCAGCCTCCCTCACCCTCTCTTCCTACCTCAGGCACTTTTATACAATTTCTCACARAGAGTCTCCTGTTAAAAATAGACTGCTTAACATTTCTCTAAGGTAATTTATGGTAAAATGAAAGAAGCAGACAGAGTGGTGAAAAAAAACAGCTCCACCATTTTCCCCCTAATTGTAAACAAGAGATGACATCTGTATGATCGATGAGGATGCGGTAATGGCAGGCAACAGTAGTGCTTCTAGAGATGATGATGACTTTGATCTAAGTAAAAGGGTGTATGTCTGTAATTTTGCACATATCCTCCTCAAAGCAACATCTACAGGGAAGACAACAAAGTCCAAAAAGCAACATCCCACAGCCTCCATTTCTGTTTCTTCCCTCTTCCCTTTCACATCCCCTCCCTCCATCCTTTTGGCAGCAAGCCTAGTCTCACTTATTCAATCCCACAACAAGCAAACACAGACACTCAGCAGGCACATACACTGTTACAGAGCTACAAAAGACATCCTGCTGCGAGGGTGGGAGTGTGCTTTCTGAAGCTTTGGTTTTCCTTGGTCTACAAGCGCAACTGCGACGCTGAACATTTTACAATCCTCAAGTTCTGCAAGGACGTTGTTTCTAGAAGGATGCACAGTCGAGAAAGATTTCCATGMGAAATCTGGAACATTTATCACACATCTTACAAATCCAGACTTGAAGTTGGCGAGAGAACAACAGGAAAGAAAGAAAGGGAGAGAAAGAGAAGACAGAAAAGATCAAGATGAAGCCATAAAGCCAGTGAGCTAAAGGAAAAGGCAGTTCTCGCCCCACTAAATTAACCTCTGGGCTCCCTGGGAATAGAAAAAGACCTTACAGCAGTATGCTGTCTCTCTCACCACTGCCTTTGATAAAACAAATCCCATTTACTGAGCCATTACCTCCACATCCTCCTCCACATCCACTGACCCAGGCTGACACTGATGCGCCAACTTCCAATCTTAAATGCCTCTAATGTTCAGACTCCTCACATGACCCTTTGTTTAAACCCCACTCCACACTTTCCAGTAGTCTAATGTTACTGTTTGCTCCATGTGGTTTGTTGCGCTTCACTTAACACCATAACACTTTATTCTCTCAAAGCAAGCAGTCTCATCCACCCCATCCCAATTCCCTCAAAGCTTTACGAGCATGGGGAAAAGGTGGATGTTCCCCGATAGCCTCGCCAGCCAAGTGGAAAACAGGGTCATGTATGTCACAATCTGCCAGCATCACGGAGGGGTTTGGGAACTGCAAAACGCAGTTAATGCTTTTTACACTTTGCCGCTTGTCTTTTTTTTTTTTTACTTTTAAGAGCCATAAGGTATTTGAACATACAGGGTGATATTAAGGTTAAGTAATTTTTTTCTTTTGTACTGCATAATTTTAACTTATGTGTAATTTGCCAAGCAACACATATTTAAACAATTMCTTCCGGGGTTGAGCCACTCCCCAGGGAGAGACATCATCTCGATAGGAGAAAGTCCTTCCTCCTCAAGTGACTGTTTGTACAACAATCTATATTTTAATGGAAAAAATATGTGTCTGTCTGGTGTAAGGGTCACCCCGAGGGGTAATAAACATTTCTACCTATCTTTGACCCTGGTTTCAAAAGAGACAATTTTTTTTCTTTAATAAACAAAATAATAATGTTCTTTTTTAAATTATAATGCAAGAAGATAGATTGTCATTCTTTTCATTATATAACTTTGAGTTATAAACTGATAATAACTTGTAGTTGAAAGAAAGTATAAATAAAAAAAATATGAAGAACATTATTATTTTGTTTATTAAAGAAAATAAAATGTCTCTTTTGACAAAGGTCTTTTGAAACCAGACAGGTGAAAATGTWTATTACCCCTCGGGGTGACCCTTACACTGGTGATAGGCATGTGTTAACTGATCTGTCTCTTTTTAAGTACACAAGATGACCCAAGAATAGGGATGGCGATATGGACTAAAAAATTTACCACGATAATTGCTAGGTTTTATCACGATAACGATAAGTGACAATACAAAATACATATATGTCAGCCTAAACGTATGTGTCTTGGGCCAAGACACATAATTTTATACCTTATATTTTATAATTTGTGATAAATTGTAATCATTTAAACAGTAACAGAATCAACAAGTCTCTATTTGGTGTAACGTGCCTCGCTCCAGCAGTGTAAACATGTTTTACATTTCAGGAATGCAGAACTGTTTTAAGGGTACTTCCTTGTTTACTATGACATCGTATCCAGGGTGTGACCAGGTTTTCTATGAAACACTGTAAAAGACAAATAAGCTTGACATCACTTTTCCTGGGCTTCCAAAATGAGGGGAAATGGACCAGACCTGAGTTATCTGTGATCAACTTTGCACATCTGTAAATAAATATTCAAGTCTGAGAATTGAATCGAACTCCTGCACATAATTTGGTTTCTCATTTGAACATGATCCTTCAGGAGAATAACTATTGCCAATGAAGGTGTTATTAAAATTAGAGACTAACTGATTTAGTTTCTTGTTTTATAAACCTTTGTGTTACATGAAAAAAAATCACTAATGTGAAAAAAGTTTATACATTATGGTCACCTTACTATCATTACATTTTTTCAGCCTTTWTCACTTAAGTAACACCGCATAAAATGTTTCGATGTTACATGTCATTATCCAAAAAATAGCCCCGTTTACAAAGACAAAACTTTCAATCCCCACTAGAGAGGTCTCTTAGTGACTCAAGCGCCTACACAGTCAACCATTCATGCCATTTTGACTTCTCACTTTCTGAAAATATGCTTTTCACCAGTACCCTGTCACGTTGTTCACACTAACCAACACAAATACAAGCACTCAATCTCAAAGATTCAAAGACACATCCATTAGCAGCCATCTTCCTCGGCATGAGCCAGGCCCCTGTAACCCTCAGTGAGGGTGGGAGACCCTGTGCATTGTAGAGTGCTCGTTTATGCCTCTCAGATGGAGGCATGAATCCAAATTGCCAATTATAAAGCAATTACAGGCAGCAGCGGGAGCAGACTCCCGCAGTCATTAAAGCAAAATGCCAACGCACTGAGCCATTCCTCCTTCACTGCGTTGCCTGTAACCCGACCACTGAAAGGAAGACCCATGTCTCAGTCACTAAAATACCCTTCTAATATACAAAAAGAGGGCACAGACATTTAGCAGATACTTTACTGGAGCTTCAAAAAGCAGACTACTGAGTGTATAATCAATGGCTTATTTTTTTTAGTCTCTGTGAAATGCCACTCAGAAGCAAAAAAAGGTTTATGGTATCAGCTGCATTAAAAATATATTAATTCATGGTGTTTGTTTGTGCTTCTTCTATWTCTTCTGGCTGTTTAAAAGGCTGCAGCACCAATGTTGGAGATACCACAATGCCAGCTTTTATGAAGCACCTCCCCTGCTGTTCCCCCGACCTTTGACCCCTCACCCCAACCTCTTGTCATTATCACCTCTCTTAACCTCCTTATTCTTTACCACGGTAGCCTAGAGCTGCATCTGGGGGCACTGCAAACCCACTGACCTAACCTTTTCAGTTTGAGCTTGACCTCTTCGACTCACACTCAAATAAATGCATACATTTGAGAATTAACAACACTGTATGAAGACACAAATGACGGAAGCATTTGTCGATTCACTTTTAAAAATTCAGGCATGTGACACAGCTCAGATAAAGCAATGCGTGTCTTTTTGCCGAAAGACTCTTCAGCCTCTTCCTGCTCTGGATGACACTTAAACTGCAATAGGATCATTTTGGAAAAAGCTGTAGCTGCYCTGGGCAAAGGTTTCCAAGAAAAAAAGGACAATGGCCTGAACGCTACCACACCTATGTGGCTGATTGACCAAATCACCCACCTTTCACTATCCACCTTTCTGTTTGTCCTCGGGGTACAGCCAAAGTGTCCTGGAGAGTTTCCGAATGTTGCCGAGTGCTGCTCATAACCATGTGCTTGGCCTCAGCCATTAGCCCTGAGCTGAGATAAGAAGGCTTAAAGCAAGGCCATAATCCATAATCCACTCCTTATCAAAGCAAGCAGCTCTCCCACTTTCTCTCTCCCTCGCTACAGAACCAGCAGTGGGTGTCAGGTTGACAAGCCACAGGATGCAGCTGACTGCTTTGGTGAACGGGGAGAGTCTGGAGGGTGAGCAGACTCAAGACCAGGTCTAGGAAGGGACTAATGCAGGTGCCAAGTGGGAGAGGGCCTTGAGGGACACAGATGTCAGCTGCTGCCCCCTCTATGTCCCAATGGCAGCTGGCATTGTTTGGCGCGTCAAGGCACTGAGTTGGTTACACTACATTCATAGACCTGCCAGCTATGTCACATGCACATATGTCCAGTATACCGCCACGTTACTAGTCGCAGGCCTGCTGCAAAATCCATTGATCCCTGAAGAGCCCATCTGGATGTACATTTGTGCTCAGAGGCAAGTTAATGAATGAGAAGATTAGGACATCATGTAGATAAGAAACAAGAATAAAACACAAAGAAAAGAAAGCACAAGACATCAGAGCAATTTAGTCAAAGACAAAAAAAGTGCAGACCCAAGCTCAGTATGAGGAGGTGTGAACATTATTATTATTATTATTATTATTATTATTATTACCTGGCGCCCCTCGTTCCTCCACAAGCCGTTGCTTGTTTTTGTTGGAGCAATGGTGACTACAGGTGGAGTGTTTGGCACACTGTGGCCCGCTGGGGGAACCAGGACAGTTCCTGGTCCGAGGGGACCCCTCTTGGGTGTACTGACAGGAGAGCTGTGATTGGTGGCTGGAGACGACACTGGAGATGACTCGCTGCTGATGGAGGATGCAGCTGAAGAAGAAAAATAATACAAATAAAAGTCAAAACGATGCTATGAAGATATTGTTCGTCTTTACAAAAAAAAAAGGAAAATGTGACATGAAATGTGTTAGCTCCTTCACAAATTATTCAAATAATTCAGAGGTTACTGAACACAGATATAAAAAATTTAGATCACTGCAAAAAATGTCCACCTAACCAAGTTTTAAAATCTTATATCCAGCCAAAAAGTKTTTTTGATCTTGTTTTGAGACTGATTTACTAAACAAGAACTGATTGTGTAAGAATAATAATCTTGTTTTCAGAATGTGTAAGATTATTTGTCTTGTTAGTCTAAAAATTTGACTCAAATTTAGTCAAAAATTTCTGCCAATGGATTAAGAAAATTTTACATGGTAAGATTCTTGAAATACTTGATTTGACTCAGTTTTTTTTACTTAATTTGATGCAAATTTTCAGACTAACAAGACAAATAATCTTACACATTTCTGAAAACAAGATTATTATTCTTACACAAGCAGTTCTTGTTTAGTAAATCYGTCTCAAAACAAGATCAAAAAAACGTTTTGGCTGGATATAAGATTTTAAAAGTTGGTAAGATGGACAATTTTTGCAGTGTGGATGGCCATGGGCCCTTTTAAGACTGATAGRGATCGGGATGAACAGCCTTGTGAGACGTGGACTGCAGGCACAGACTATAACACTCTGTTTAAATGCTAACAGTATTACTGTACGTATGTGTGGCGCTCACAGAACTCCTCTCCCTCATCACAACACATGCACAAGCACAGCAGGTGGTGAAAAGCTGGCCCAATGAGCTCCTCTGCTGTGCTGTAGCTGTGCCACATTAACAAAGCCCTCKAGGGAAACCCTGTAGCGCAGGGTCACGGTCTGGTCACATGCCTCGCTTTCAACACATCTCGTTTGCCCTCTCTCTAGCTGCAAACCTCAAATATGCTGTACTCATATTCACAGACTTTTATTTACTTTCATCTTCCTCACCCTAACCTCCCCTTATTTACCTTCTGTTCCTCTCAAATATATCCCCGTCTATTTGCATTATCCTTCACTCTTCCCTATGTGATTTTTTTCTGTTTTGTTTCTCCTCCTTATGATTRAGCCTGCACATTATCTGTGTTCTTTTATTCGTTTTTGGCGAGCCTCTTCTCTTGACGGTACAGCGCGCTGTAAATCACCTCCTCTCAGAGGAAGTAAAGCATTACACAGTCAAACTGGGTCACAACCCTCTCCATGGGACACACACTTTGGTGCCGCAAAAAGGACAAAGAGAGATGAGCGRTGAAGTGCGCAGGTAGCATATTTGTGCAACAAAATGGTTGCGTGCAACCGCAATTAACAAAGTGTCAGGTTTGAGTCAGATCCAATTTTTACTCAGAAAAAAAAAACAMATCTCTCCRCATCTGCCATCTCTTTTTCTGCTTTGGTTTCTATGGCAACATAACCAAAAGACGACACCGGCTTATACTGTACTACGGGGTGTCAAGACATTGAATGATTTCAAACTCTTCGCTCTGATAACTACCGTAAAATAATAGGAAAAAAAATCAATAACGGTAGRGAGGCGATGTCTACTTGAAAAATATGTGTGCAAGTGTTGGTGGTGGAGGACGCAAAAAAAGTAAACAAAAAAAAAGACGTGTGGTGAGACGTGAAAATGAAAAATGATGAGACGAGGAGTTATTAGAAAAAAAAACCTGAAAAAAAGAGGAGCGAGGTGAGAGAACAGAGAGGAGAGCACGGATAAGGGGTGCAGATGGGTAAGTGGTGGATGGGGTTGGGGTGGGGGGCAGTCATATCTTGTCTGCACAATGGCAATTAGTGGCCTAATCCCCCCACCCC